TACCAGAGGTTGGTGATGATCCAGGGGTGTTGGCTGGAGGGGGGTGTAAAAAAAAAAAAAATTAAGATGGCAGCTATGATCATGTGATTAGATCTGCAGTTTGGGACTTCACTCGTGGTGTTGTGGCTGCCATCTTGATGTTTTTGAACCACCATCCCCCCCAGTGTCTCTGTGATTGTCAGGTTGAAAGGCCAGCAATAACACCCACCCACACCAGAGCCCTTGTATTCCCTCAAGGCGCAGGTTATTCTGTGGGTTACCCTCACAGCAGGGATGTCCATAAGATATGGTCAAAAAAGTCAACAGAGTGGCCAGGATGCTGCGATTGAAGTTCCACCTGTTTCTTAGGTGGATGCGACTTTAATCCCACATCAGTACACATGTACGTCTTACCCAGATAAGCAGATAAGTTCTAGGAGAAGTAACTGTTACATGTCTCCACATGTTTCTCTCTCTTTCTGTGTCCCTCCTAGCATGTGTACGCATGTGCTTGTGCAGGAATTCTTTTTGTCTTTTTCTGAGTTGGATTGACACATGCCATTAGCAAGATCTACTTGCAGAGATAGTGAGGGGAGGATGTTTTCTAGCAGGTGTTCACTCCTAACAGTTTCAAAGGCACATTTTCTTCCTAGAAACGTTTATCTTAGGAGGCACCTAGGAGCTCTAGGCTGGAAACAGGCATGCTCAAAGATATCGTTTCTTCCTAGAAATGGCGACATCTCAGCTCCGGCTGGTCCAACCAAGATGGCTTATGAGTTGTTCAGTGTAGTTTCTCTCTGATCCAACTAGAAAGGCCTGATGGTGTATTTTAATATACATGATTGAATATGCCCCTGTAGCACTTATACAACAATACATGCTTCCACATCTAGTTGCTTCTGCTAGAATCACAGATCTCTACCAGCCATATGCGCATTTACTACTCGGTATCCGAGCAACCATGAGCCCTTCGATGGAATTGTCTTAATTTATTAATTGGAAGAGCTCCATTTTGATCAATTTCCAGAGGGCCAGCAGAGTCAGGGCAATCTGAACCTCCTGTGGAAGGCTATTCCCTAAAACAGAGTCCACAACAAAAAACATCTCCTCCTAGCATCAGGCTTTCTAATTTTGTGGTAGGAGGGGCTATCAGCAATTTTTGCCAGACGGGTCAGTTCTAGTTGAAGGTGGTAGCCCTGCATGTCCGTGGCTTCTTATTCAACAAAGCTTCTATTCTAACTAACCATGATATCTATACAGTAATCCCACCAGCTGCAGCTCAATCAGGGCACTTGGAGGCTGAAAGCTTGGTCCCAATGGAAAAATTGCAAATGGGGAGAATTGCACGTTGATGTTTCTGGAATATTTTATAGAAAGGAGTGGCGTACTTTAACAAGATAGCTACCTAGGACACTTGATCTGCATGTTGATGATTTGATCAAGAGTAGTAAATTGAATACCTTCCAGCCTTAAGCTAATAGTCAATATGTTATGAGGAGACCTTTCCCCCCCCTCAAAAAGGGAAAGCTTTGACACAGGTGCAAAGGTCTTGAAAAGGCATCTGAGGCTACAATAAAACTATAAAAGCTAATTTAATATAGTAATATCAATCAAACGTTATTGCGGTCATCAGCCAACAAGATTAAGAGTAATAAAAGATCCAGAAGCATTTTTTATATCGGATTCCTTTAGATAATTAAAAAGTACATACGTACACTGATAGCTTTTAAATCTGATATGATTAATACTGGTCACGTAATTATTGGAATTTTTGCTAAATTTTCTCTGATTAAGCAGAAAACATAATTGCAGACATTAGTCCATGCACGGTAGCCAGATAATCACATCATAAGATTGAGGCTTTGTAGCAAAAGAGACGATGAGGGTGGGGCTGGGGGTGCAGTGGACACATTTGAAATTTTAAAATCATTTTCGGGCTCTAAAAGTCACAAAACAGCAAATCAGTAGAAGGCAACCTGGTACAATTGCCCCCCAAAGGACGTCTTGTCTTCCAGGATGCTCTCCAGCCCCATGACTTACCTTTATTCTTTTTGGGGGGGTCAGGTAGGCATGCTTTTAAATCAAGCCCTGAGCTCTGGCTGCCCACCATTTTCCTTTCCAACAAGGTCTGTGCAACTCGGATGGCACATCTTTATTTAGCCTGGAAAATGACGTCGATGCTAGAGGTTGAGGTTGGCTTTCAGCTTTCCCCAGGTTTTATAACCCTGAAAATAGTCTTTAAAAAAATCAAAGTCAGGTAGGATAAGGAGATGCTGTGGATGGGAGGTGGAAACAGAACTCTTGCTCCAAAATATATTCAAAGTACATTTGAAATTATGACCCAAATAATGTCTTCATGGGGTTTTGTTGCTCTAAATTCATGTACGTGCTTTTTTTTTGGTTCTGGATCCATTTCTTGCATGGTAGATTATTTGTAAAGGCTTAATTATATCACTACTTGTTTTGTTAGCAGTAGCTTTGCTTATTTTACCTCTTGATCAGTGAGACAGGTTCAAGGCAGTAGAACAATGACAATGGTCATAAACGTTGGACCATTCAGTGAAGGGACAGTTTGATTGTTTGGTTTCTGAGAATTTTGCCAGGCTCTAGTACACATAATTCTATGACTTCTCTAACAGGAATGGTTATAAATCTAGACCAACTAACACATTATATTTCTGTAATTTTTCTCGACAGCCCCCAATATAGAATCCTTGGCCAGATTCATAACACAGATATTTATTGTGATGTGGAAGCATATGAAGAGGTAAGGAGATTAGGAACTCATGAAAGCAAAGAAAATTAATCTGTTCAGTTAAGAATGGGGGGGGGGGGGACAATAGGATCCCATAGTGAATCTCCCTTAGAAGTATTGAACTCTAGTCTTACCAGTCCAGGTTCATGAAAGAAAAGGTACTTGCAGGAATCCTCAGTAGAATGGTTGGGTTGAACTGCAGCTAGGAAGAAGAGCAACCAAAACTGGTAGGTTTGTTCAGAAGGAGGTCTGAAGGTTTCCAGGTCAGGAAGGCTGATCCATACTTTGGATTTCATCTCAAAAAGTAGATTAGAAGGCACAGGCCCATAGATGTAGTATCTGCTTCCACTTCTGAAAGCAGCCTCATCCCAGAAAAAGACAATGCTGCTTTAACATTTGATACATTGGTGCTGCCGTGTCCTCCAAAACACTTTGAGAGGTCACATCCAAAGCATTACCTGGGCACGTTTATCTGGTTTCAGATGGTAGTCATGCATGTCGATGGGGACTCTTATTTCATTTTCCTATCCTGTAATTTCTAGGATGCATCAGGCCTAGTCTTCAGGACAGGAAAATATGAAGTTGAATGATGAAGTTTTAGAAAGGATGGTAGGGGAGGGAAATCCAATTTCCAGCTGTTCTTCTGCTTTCCTTGCAAGTAGAGGACTATTAGAGCAATGTTTCTCAACCGTGGCAACTTGAAGATGTGTGGACTTCAACTCCCAGAATTC